GATTTGAAACTGTCTCATTGCTGTTTATCAATAAAACTTTGAAAAAAAAATAAAAGAAATAAAAAGGAATTTCCACAAGTTAAAGGGTATCTAAGACAAAGTTATCATATTCAATTTTATTCTTTATTGTAATGAAGGTCTTTAGTCATGAAGCAAGGCAAAAAAAAAGTTGCATAGCTGAGATCTCAAAAAATAAATATTATTATCTTTATTTTTCACACTAGATTTAATCTTTATAACAAATACTATTTTGTGAAATAATTAGACATTTTATGGGAGAACTTAATTAGTACATAAGCTACATGTTGCACATAATTGTAAATCATCACTTAGTTGAAAATATGAGGAAGACCATATTGTTTGAGAAGTCTGATTTGTGCTCACATGTACAGGTAGCAAATTAGCTCCTATTTTCAGAAGGCCATGTACACTAACTCTGAGAGTGTGTAAGAACATCTTTTCTCAACATTAGCCTAGTAATGGTATTCATTCAACAGACCCTGAAGGAGGTCTACCAGAAGGAACTTGTTCAGCTACTTTGAGTGTAGTGGAAGTGACAGACTTCAGTGCACTTGCGCTTCTTGTTGATTCTTTATGTGACTTCATTTTTTTTTTAATCTTTATGATCCTTTATTTGAGCAAGATTCCTGACCAGTATACAATGATGAACTCACTAAACAGAGACCTGTGCAGAAATCACACATTATCCATCTAGACAGGTTAGGGTTATCCTTTGTCTTTTGATGGAATAATTCAATTCAGTTTCATAGGCACAGCATCCGTCACCCTCATGCAGGCGTGGTACTCTGGTGCCTTGCCTTGTGTGGGGAGCGGCTGCTGGTGTGTGCTGGAGTTGTGGCCATGTTCAGCCGAGGAAGGGTGTTCCAAGGGCCAGGAGTGCTTTTGGCTCTGGAGCCCCAAGAGTCTAGGAGGGAATTGAGACACCACTGTGAATGTGGGTGGGATGAGGTGGCAAACTGCTCAGATACCATGTGGGGTAACATTTTGAGAGGCTTCCTTAATGCATAAGCTTTTCACTTCTGTAAGAGCTGAAATTAAATGCTACTTTTTCTGAGGCAAATTAATGGACAGCCTAGTTAAATTCAGACTTTATGTGACTTCAGACGCTCTTCTCTGTGGTGGCCAGTCACCTCAATTCCTCTGAGTACACAAACAGAATGAAACTTATACTTTTTCATCATAATAGGGTCCTTTTACTTGAAGGGAAAACAAGTGTGATTCAGGCTGCATCCATTCAGCTGATCTGCCTAATATGGGTGTGATTTAATGTTCATCTTTTCTTTAAAATACTATATTAATCAGCTTCCCCAACACTGGGACAATATAGGAGAAACAATATAGAAGTGGAAATTTAATTTGGCTTACAGTTTGGGGGATGCAGTTCATAGCTGGTTGGCTCCAAGGCAGCAATAACATACTGGAAAGGCATAGTTCCTTAATGGCCACTTACTTCTTAATGGCCACTGGACCAGATGGCCCTACAATGTGATGTGATGAAGAAAAACAAAGAGAGGGGGTCAGGGAGATGGCTCGGTAGAATAAGTGCTTCTCTGGCAAGTGTAAGGGCCTGAGTTCAATCCCCAGTTTCACCAAAAAAAAAAAAAAAAAGAAAAGAAAAAAGAAAAACAAAGAGGAGCTTAAGAGCCCTCCTTGGGAAGGGGCCTATGCCCATGGCTTCTTCAAGGAAGATGCCCGCTGGGATACACAGGTAACCCAGGGACAAACCAACATGCATCTTGTGGTGGGATGATTAAATAAAAATGCCTTGCATTAAGTTCATCAAGGTAGTGAACAAAATCTGTTCACCACCTGGAAGCCAGGAATGAGAGGGAGAAGCGAGGAGCTGGGGGAGAGACATACACCCTCCAGAGGCACACCCCGGGTGACACACCTTTCTGATCAGGCTGGGTCTCCTCATGCCACATTTAGCTACCAGTTCAGTGGATCAATTCACTCATGAGAACAGGGCCTCTATCATCCAGTCATGTCCCAAAAGCCCCCTATTTCTGAATACCTCAGATTTCTGAGAGATATTCCAAATGGAAACCATAACAAAGTTGAATTTAAAGAGCTTTTTAACATAAACTTGTTTTACACATTCCATCTAACATCTGAGAGAGGCTCCTTTAAAGTCGATGTTGTATCCAATAGCTTAATTTCTGAAAGAAATCCTTAACTTGGAGAAATGGAAGTCATGGCAGGCTTTGGCTTCTCATCACTGAGCTCTACGAAGAAGCTGCCAGGGCTACTGCAAAGATTGCAGGACAGTTGACGTTTAGGGCAGGGTTGGAGCATTACAGAACCCACAGATGGTTAAAGATCCACAGTGAGAAGCATTTGTGTTCTCTGAAACACTGTCAATGGAGAGTGAGACTATCACAAGAGCAGGAAGGATTTAAAAGGACAAGCCTCTCTGAGACAAGCCTTGCAAAGCAAGTGCTAGACTGGAAAGCCACGGTGTTACCTGCTGTGGAGTCATCTCCAATCCCGAGTACCATGAGCCAGAGGTCTCTGAGGCTGACTGAACGTTCTACCTCCCCTAACCTTTCTCCTCTTGCTGTCTTCAGGGGGAGCTGACCATGACTAGCGACATGGAAAATTTACAGAACGCCCTGTACCTAGACACAGTGCCAGAGCCCTGGGCCAGGCGAGCCTATCCTTCCACAGCAGGCCTGGCAGTCTGGTTTCTGGACCTCCTCAACCGCATCAAGGAGCTGGAGGCTTGGACAGGTGACTTTGCCATGCCCTCCACAGTGTGGCTGACAGGCTTCTTCAATCCCCAGTCTTTCCTGACCGCCATCATGCAGTCTACGGCCCGCAAGAATGAATGGCCACTGGACCAGATGGCCCTACAATGTGACGTGATGAAGAAAAACAAAGAGGAGCTCAAGAGCCCTCCTCGGGAAGGGGCCTATGTCCATGGCCTCTTCATGGAAGGTGCCCGCTGGGATACACAGGTAACCAGGGACAAACCGACATGCACCTTGTGGTGGGATGATTAAATAAAAATGCCTTGCATTAAGTCTGACTACTGCAAAGGATGCCCCCAAATCATAATTTTCTTTTCTTGGAGGCCATTTTACCCAGACACCAGCAGTGCACAGAGCCCAGGCTTTGCATAGGGAGTATAGACTGGCTAAAATTGAGGGCTTTCAAGCTGGACTCACTGGATCTCAATCTCATCATCACCACTTGCGAACTATGACCTTCAGTTATAGTTTTACCCTCGAGGTCTGCTTATTCATTGGGGAAAGCAAGTGAGTAACTGTGTAAAACACTTGAGTGGTGCCTGGCACGCGGACAGTGCTCCAAAAGTTGGCCTGAGCTCTATCCCACTGCCAATTTGACCCAGGGATCTTATTTTACTTCTCTGATCAATTTTCAGGAGTTCTAGGTAGGTGAAAATTTCTTCTGCCTTCTAGAAAAAAAAAAAAAAGCTATTAGATGTTATTTAAATTGGCACTTTGAAAGAACTCACTGAAAGCTGATAAAAATTTGAGTCACTGTAAGACTGGAGAAGATGTTTAGTCACAAGTAGGAAACTGGCAAGCAGGCACAGGTAGTTGGGGTAATGAAATGAGCAGGATGCATATCTTGAGAGTAAGTTTATAGCCATCACATACATAGGCTCTAGAAAGAATGCCTATCAAATATATCCCACTTGGCGGATGCCATTAAACTATTCCTACCATGCCGGCCCCGCCCCCAGGGCACACGGAGGCGGCAATTGAGACTGGGTGTGGTGGCATGCGCCTGTAATCCCAGTTCTTGGGAGGCTGAACACAGGCAGATCACCACAAGTCTAATCTAGTAGTGAGACCCTGAAGACACCCTGTAGACACTTCCCTAAAATGCCAAAAAAAATTTTTTAAATTAAAAAAACCCAACTATTCCTAGCACATGGTACTAAGCTAATCAAGCAACATGGAACTAGAAGATCCCAGGAGATGATATGAATAAGATACTGCAGAGAGATAGAGCAGATTGAATAGTGCTGGCCCACCATTCAACTTTCCCAGAACCTAAGAAGGAGGCCTCACTTATGGTTAGGGATGTACGGCGATAGTAGAGCACCTGCCTAGGATGAGGCCTTACTCAGAAATGGGTTTTTTGCAGATGTAAATGATTATGATGAGACTACAGTGGGTTAGCATGGATCCTAAATCCACTGACTGGGGCCTTTATAAAATGTCCATGTAAAGATGGAGGCAGACTGGAGATGATGCTTCAACAAGCCAAAGAATGCAAAATTTTCCAGCAACCACCGAAAACCAGCAGAGAGGTATGAGAAGATTTTGCCTTCAGAGCCTCCTAGGGACCAACCCCCACAACACTTTTATTTCAAACTGTGGCCTCTAGAACTACAAGAGAATAATTTTCTTTTATTCAGCCAAAAGGTTTGTGGCAATTTGTTACACTAGTACAACAGGACAACATTCAAACAGCTTGAATCTTGAGAAAGAAGTTATTTTCCTCTCCACCTGAACACTTACACAAGAGTGTGTTATCGACGATCACAGATGTACTGTATAGAGGTCTAGGGTAAGCCACATCAGGAGCTCTCAAAACTCCAAAATGACAGCAGACATATAAAAAGAAAAGTGTGGAAGAAATTAAGAAGCTATATATGTCCCAAAGTTGAAAAGTATACTAAAATTGAAATTCAATAGAGATTCAACAGCAAACTTGAGTAGGCACAAAAATGAGCAAACTTGTAAATGTATCTTGAGGTTATCCAGTTTAAGAAACAGAAAGAAAACAAAGAATGGAAACAGTCCCAGAGACCTGTAGTACACAATCAAGATTATCAGCATACACACAGTAGGAGTTTCATAAGGAAAGAAGAGACAAGGAGCCAGAAATAATATCTGAGGAAATAACAGAAGCTAGGTATGGTGGTGTAAACCTATAATCCCAACAGTTAGGAGGAATGTGAATTTGAAGCCAGCCTAGGTTACAAAGTAAGTTCTTCAACACCTGGATTACATAGCAAGGTCTTCTCTGAGGAAAAGGGGAGGGGGAGGAAGAGAGACGGGGAGGGGGAGGA